TCAGGGAGGGTCAGGCTTATGACTGAGACATTCCGAAGGTTGTAGGAAATGCCTCTGTGATTGCGGGGTCTCCTCACCGCTCTCTGCCACGGTTCCAGGCTGTCGGGCAGAGTGGGTGCGGGGTGCTGGGACGAGGCAGGCCCCTCGCTCCCCTCACGGCATCCTGAGCTGCCGTAGGCCGGCCCTCAGCGCTGCTCCTGCCCGCCGGCATCCCGCCTTCCCGCGGCCACGGGACACACCAGCCCCGACCTCGCCTCCGGCCCGTAGACATCCGAACGCGGTCATCTGCAGGGTTTCACGGAATCATAGAATGCCTCGGTTGGAAAGGGCATTAGAGATCATCCCCCAGCCGTGGGCAGGGACTTCTTCCACTAGACCAGGTGGGTCAAAGCTCCATCCACCCTGGCCTCGGAGACTTTCAGGGATGGAGCAGCTACAACTTTTCTGGGCTGCCTGTTCACCATCTTAGCACATATGAAAACGCTTTGCTACATCCATCAGTTCATGTGCAGCACCTTCAATCTTGTGTACTGTATTACCTTAAATCCCTAACCTGCCTTCAGATAGATCCATGCAGGAGCTGCTGCAGTAACTGGGCTTTGGACTGGTGTGTGAATACCTGAAGATGGAATTGGAATTGAAATTGTCATCAGTAAAACACTGTATCAAACTCATACTTGTCCCAGATGCTGATCTTTTATTAATTTCTTCAGTACAGAAAGATAAAAAAAATACTACCAAGTTCTTCAAGTTCTTTCCAAGTTCTTTTAAAGATATCTCTGGAGCCTGAGTTAGAGAAATGGCCTTAGGTGGATTTTTTTTCTTCTTTGTTTTCATTCTTTAACGTGGACATTTACTACAAAGACAGAAATAAATTTGTTGTTTAATCTCTCTTGATACTCTGCCTGGTTTATTTTCCACACATATGATCTCTTTTGTTCTGTCAGTAATCACCTAAACAACTGATTAACCAATGATCAGCCTGCACTGTTCCTATCTGCAGGATGCAATGCAAGGGAAAAATGGGGAAATCCACACTTGATTATTTCTCTTTCATAACTCAGTACTACACTGTCCCAACAAATTGCGGTTGTAGCAGCACACATGCTTCTTTATTTTTGAGGTGTCCCTCAGCTCTTACACAAATCCCCCAGAGCTCTCCCTGCACCTTCTTTTAATTAAATTGCTTTTCTTAACTTAATCTGGGACTGTTTGATTAGAGCTGGTTGGAAGTTTTTCCCAACAAAGCAAGGTTATTCAGCAGCTTTGAAACCCACTGATTTATCAGGAGATAAATTGACTTATCTTTCAATTAACTTCCTTCACCTGTGGAGTGCTAGGAGCTCAGGTTTCTCAGTCCAGTGACAGAATTCCATTTGAATGAATGTGGGGCTGGAGACCTCAGGGATTTTGGGGGTTTTGCCACAGAGCCAGTAGCCAATGCAATTCTCCAGTGTGTGCAGCTATGGGACACTGCAGATGCCAGAAATCATTGACTGCTTTAGTTTCAGACTGCACGGGCTTATGTCATAAAACTCTCCAAACTGCCATCTCCAGATATCTCAGTATTTCAGTTTAGATGTCATATTTCAATGTTCATGGTTTTGCTTTTAGTTTGGAATGAAGGGTTTCTAGAAAACATTTTCCCATGCTGGAATGAATTACTGATCATCATTAGCAATGAAATCTACCAAGAGGGGATAACAAGCTTCACTGGTCAGAGGAGGCACTTGGTCAGTTCTGACTACCACTAAGAAAATAATGACTTGATAGCTCATCCTACCATTTAGGCAGGGGAGATCGGGTTTTAATATGGTTTGAAATCTGTTGGAATCCTGGAAAACCTTAAATAATCTATTTTTCTTGTCTTTTTGCATTGCTTTCAGTAGCATTAGGATTTTGTCCAGGGTGGCTTGCTAAGATAGACACAGCAGTTTAAACACAGATTGGAGATGTGTCTAGATTCCACTTTGGGAATATTGATGGCTTATGCAAGTAGGAAGTCAACCCTGATAGTCTTATAATTTGTTAATTATATAAGTTGCTGGTTTGCAACCAGGTTTGCCAGTGGAGAAATTTACATTTTGTCCTGTTGTAACACATTTACAAATTTTACTGGTACCATTGTTTCACAGTTCTCTTTTTTTACCTTGAGGTGATGACAGGTTTTTTGTCTGCTATGAATACAAATATATGCATTTCTGGGAAAAAGGAATGCTATTGTCTAAGTACTGCAGTTCAAAAAAAGGAATCCAAACTCTTCTTTACTCTTGGTATTACACCATTTGAAACAGCACACTATCTCAAGATCTTCTGAGGACACAAATTGCATCATAGCAGAACGATTGAAATCTTAACTTGCATTAGCATAAAGGTCCCATTTGTTGTCTTGGCAAAATCAACAGCTACTAGGCTCAAAAGCTGTTCTCAACAGGAGTAAGTGTTATCGTGTGCAACTATTTATCTCTAATCAGCATTCCCACTGTTCTGAAAAATTGATTTGAATTCTAAGTTGATACAGGAGATGCATATAAACAGATCTCCGCTCTCCTCCTGTGAGGGCAATTTATGCAAAATAAGTTTAGGGGCTCTGGGATTTAAAGTTTACTGACTTTTGTCTGTGGGAACTGGAGTGCCACTTTACACATTGTGAACATTGTCTGTGAATTACCTGCCTTAAGGGGGATTGTTAGCACATGAATCAAAAGTGGCTGACTAATGTAGAACATCTCAAACAAAAGGATTAGACAATAGCTGAGATGCACCAAGATGCATTTTAAATCAGCTCAAGTTAAATTAGGTGCTTTTTAGTCTAATACTGCTCTTAAGTATAATGTTGAACACTGGCTGTGAGAGTAAGATGATCTCTGTACCTTTGTTTTGCTGCAGAGAAGATGCCATCTATTTATCTTCTCCTTAAAAGCAGTCTTTACCCATGGAAATGGTACTTGCTCAGCTGTATGTTATTCATTCATAAAGGAAGAGCACTCTATTCCTCCCTGCCACGAAGTCCATAGTGTTTCTCCTTTGATTATGTGCATAACACTCTGGGGAATGAGACAACTGTGCACATATATTTTCTTGTATTTTTATATTGAAAAGGAGTGTTTTTTTTCAGATGCTCCAGAGTTACATTCTGCTCCCACTTAGAAACATTTGCAGCAGCAGCCTCAATATGATGTTTGTCCTTGAGAATCTTGCTACAAGGGCACCCACACCTAAACTCAGATCCAGTCCTCTGGGATGTAGGATATTGCAAATTCTGTGTTGCATCACTTCAAAACTTTGCAGGAAAGTTTAGAGCATCAGTACACTAAATGCTATTCAGTTTGGTGACAAATGAAAAAGATTGTTTCTGGTGTAAGGAAAAAAACCAGGCAGGTCTGGAGGGTGCTTCCTGCTGTGGCCTGACCTGGCACACTAATCTCAGTTTGCTGAATTCTCCCTTTGAGTGTAAAGAGGCCTAGCATGCTTTTTTTGTGTAAGGGCCTAACGTGCTGCCTACCTCCATCTCCTGGAGTCTGAGAAAGAGAAAATTAAGTGGTTTGGACCTATTCTGATCCTACTGAAATGGGAGCTTAATCAGAATCTGGCCTTTGTAGTGAAGGTACAGTGTTTATTGCAAAGAGGGTGCCCCATGATGCCAGTTGCCCACCACACTCCTCTCCTCAGCAGCACTGGGAGGGGGGAAATTAGATGGAAAAAACTCATGGGTCAAGATAAAGGCAGCTTAATAAAGCAAAAACAAAGACCATGCACAGAAGCAGAGGAAAAAATGATTTATTCTCTACTTCTCATCAGTGTTCAGACACTTCCCAGGAAGCAGGGCTTCAGGGCCTGCTGTCTTCCAGGCAGCATCTCTGGAAGACAAACATCATAATGACAAATATCCACCCTTTCTCTTGGCTTTTATTGCTGAGCAGATGCCATATGGTATGGAATATCCCTTTGGTCAGTAGGGGTCAGCTGTCCTGACTGTGTCCCTTCCTACTTCTTGCCCACTCTGAGCCCACTCTAGGAGGCAGATTGTTGGAGAGGCAGTGCAGATGCTGTGCAAGTGCTGCTCTGCAGATGCCAAAACATGAGTGTTCATCAACACCTCATAGCTACTGATACAAAGCACAGCACTATGAGGGCTGCTGTGGGGAAAATGGGCTCCATCTCAGCCAGACCCAATACAACTGGGCAACAGTTTTAGTCTGGGCAACAGCTTTTGGAACTAGAAACCAGAATAATGTTCTCAGCAAAGAACTAGCAATACTTCTTATTTTAACTGGACCTGCATGAATGATTGGCCCTATTTGGAGGAAAACTGTGCTGGCAATGTTTTAAAGAAAAGGGGAAAAATATTTTTGGATATACATGAAACCAAAGTTTTTCAGATTGTTTGACAGATAAGGAAGGTCTTTTTACAGGTTGAAATTCCATATTGATCTGGGACATCTCTAAAGGGCATGAAAGCAATGTAAAAATAAAGTCATTCAGGAATTCAGGATGACTGAAGAAATATTCACAAAACTGAGGAGAGTATATCTCTCAGGGGAGAAAACTTTGACTTTTTAGGTAAGACTCCAACTGCTCCATAAGCCCCAGGTTTTCCTCTCAGAAAAAATGTCCTAACTGCCAGGCTGACCAAACCATGCCACACGGGCAGATGAAGTGAAACTTCTGCAATTGATGTTGCCTGAGAAAGTAGCTCTGCTGGATTCAAAGCTGCTGAGCAACCTGTATGTCATGGGATGGGACAGGTAAAACAGCAGAAGTTGTGGTGGTGTGCAGTGCCTGTGTCCCTGCTCCACCACCAACCCAGCCCAGCTGCCTGTGTTCTGAGAGATGTAGAGCTCTCGGCTACTTGAAGGCACTGGTATTTGTGGTGAAGAAAATTAACAGTGGCTGCAGAGATACAAAGGGAGCCTCTCTTAAATGCTGATGTGTCCAACCTATGTAACTCATAAACATTCACTAAGAAAATAG